TTAAGTGTCTGACTCTTGATTTAGGCTCAGGTCATGATCTCATGGTTTGTGGGATCGAGCTCCATGTGGGGCTCTGCACTGAGAGCACAGAGCCTGCTTGGGATTCTCTCTCTCCCTCTCTCCCTCTGCCCCTCCTCTGCTCACGCTCTCATGTTCTGTCTCTGTCTCTCTCTCTCAGAATAAATAAAGAAACATTTTAAAACGTATTAAAAAAAAAGCAAAACCCAAATGACATTCTCGGTTACAGAGGCACAGGTTCAGGCCATCTTAAAACAAGCAGTTCTTTTCTGTGTAGAGTCTGATCTGCCCACATCACCCACTGTTCAGAGGCCAGGAGAAGCACGTGCTCATATGCTCCTTAACTTCGTGGGCGGAAAGTACCATGGCCGTGGCAGTAGCTTCTCCTTCTGATGCAGCCCCTAAGGGTGCATGCATGAATGGACACGTATGCACACAAGTGCACGCACATGCGTATGCACATATGTGTGCGGAAATGGCCCAGGCTTTGGGATCTCCCTGCGTGTCTTCAAGCAGAAATGCCACACATTCAGCCCCCGAGGCCCCTCTGTGCTCTCCCAGCCCAGCAGATCTTCGCGGAGTAATTCTTACTCCAGCGCCCAACAAGGAAAAGGAGACCTAACCCATCGGTTGGGTGGCCCGTGCTCCTCAAGACTGTCGAGGCCGTGAGAAATGAGGCCCAGACCAGAGGTGGCTGGGGAGATGCGACAACGAAGTGCGATCCTGGATGGGATCCTGGAACAGGAAGTCATTAATGGAGACGCTGGTGGCATCCAGATAAAGGCTGGGGTTCGGTTAACTGTATTCTACCAATGGCAGTTTCGAAACCGTGACAAAGGTCCTATGGCAATATGTTAACAATGGGGGAGACTGAGTGCACGGTATTCAGAAATTCTGTACTAGTTTTGTAACTTTTCTGTAAACCTAAAATTACGCCAAAATAAATTTACTAAAAACAAAAACAAAACCAGGCAGTATGGGTGGGAAGGCCCCCTCTACTGAGGGCAGGACTTCCGTGCTGGGAGGAAGTAGAATTACCCAGGAGAGACCCCACAGCAGCCGCTTGCCTGGGGACTGCTACTGATGCCTCCTAGGGCCTCTTCCACCTCATTAGTTACAGTTTGAAGGGAAATACGTTGCTTAACCATGAAGGTTTAGGGGTTACTTATTTAAACATCTTTTTGGATCAGTGTCACCAGCTGGGACTTTGAAGGGAGAAGGAAAAACCTTTTCGATGTCTAAGGGATGCCATGCCGTTTGAGTTCCCAGGACTTTCTTCCTTCCCACTTTTAGGTGCAAAGATTGAGGCGTGTGCCCAAGCCAGAACAGCTGGCATTTCCGGCATCTATCCATGGATCCCCTCAACTCCCGAGTTCTCCCAAACCTTTATTTTCCTCTCTGCAAAAAATAGGCTAATCTGATTTACAAACATTCTTTCCCCCTGGTTAAAACCCTAAAAAACTTCAACGGCATGGCAATGTTATGGTTAACAGATAATGAGGGATCCAATGATCTAGTATCTTCACTGTTATAAAATTCATCAGGAATCAACTATAATAGCCACACTTTCTCAGCATGGAAATCATCCAAGAAGAAAATTTAAATGTCTACTGGCATGTTTATAGAAGTTAAAAAAAAATTTTTTTTGTAATGTGGCCCAAAAGTAACTGTTAATACATTACTGTATATGAAATAGATGTTTAAAGAACCTGCAACAATAAGAAAAAAGTAGTCCCTAAAAGATACCAAGGCAGCTGCAATTTCGTTTCATTAGGTTAAGAAAAAATATAGCAAATATATATTTTCAAAAGATATTCTCCTAAAATAAAGCAAGGAAGCAAACAGACAAATCTAATTTCAATGTTCAGATAAGAATAGAGATATGTGTTAGAATATCAATTTTAGTATGTTTATTTCATCACAAACACTAAAATGATAAAGATAAATGCAAAGAAACCCCCCTCACAAACTGCCCATTATGTATAAAGCTGGACTTTGTAAAAGCATATAGAAATATGTGCTTTATATATATGTATATATAGAAATATACATATATGGGAGCCGTGTTACATCTACTGTTTTATAATCTGAGTCAGAGTGTTTTGCTTTTGTTTTGATTTTAATAAAAAAATACATTGTGCTTGTCTTTCCCTGTCAAGAGTTATACAAAGAATGCCCTGGTCATGCTTATTTCCTTGCCTGGCTCTTTTCTTAGGATTACTTTCTAGAAATGGAACTACAGAGTTAAGTGACATGTATGATTTAAATTTAATATAAATATTTTAGTTCACTTCAGAAAGGAGGAATTAAATTATATTTTTCCCAGATGTGTAGGAGCATGTTCAACTCTTACGAGGGTGCATAATTTCCCACACTCTAATTAACATTGGGTTTTATGGATCCTTCTAATATTTGCCAATTTGATATATGAAACTCTAATACATTTTTATTAGTATTTTAACTATTTGTATATTTGGTATTTTAATGTATTCATTAGTCATTTGTATTTTCCCTCTATAAAACTGTCTGTTGACATGTTTAGTGTAGTATTTGTCTGTGTCTTACTGTTTTGTAAAAGGCTTTTATGTTTTGAAAGCTATTAACCCTTCTTCATCATGTAAACTGCCAATAGTTTTTTCAGCGTTGTCTTTTTTTCCTTAATGTGACTTTGTTTTCTTTTAAAGTTTAAAAAATCTTAAAGTAGTGCATGAATCCCTGAGGGTTTTCTGTTATTATTTCACCAATGAAAAATTATAAAAGGTTTATTTTCTTTAATTTTTATAAATCTGATAGAAATCCATTTTGATTTTATGAAATACATGAAGCAGGATGCTGAACAATATTTTTATCAGAAAGTTAAATACCATGTCAACATTTCTTTTTTTTAATATAATTTTTAGTGTTTATTTTTGAGAGAGAGACAGAGACAGAGTGCAAGCAGAGGAAGGGCAGAGAGAGAGGGAGACAGAATACAAAGCAGGCTCCATGCTCTGAGCTGTCAGCACAGAGCCCAATGCAGGGCTCGAACCCACGAACCATGAGATTATGACCGGAGCTGAAGTCGGTCGCTTAACCAACTGAGCCACCCAGGCACATCAACATTTCTTGAATCCTTTTCCCATAAACACAGTGTTACTTTTTTTTATCATGGAAAACATATAAACTTTGGATACTGTTTAATAGAAAAAAAATGACATAAATTTTCCTCCATGGTGATTGAAGATAAAAAAATAAACCTCGTGATAAGAAAACTATCATATCAATAGATAATCACTATTGAAGAAATTGTGCCATCTGCTCATGATTATTCCCACATTTACATTATATGCCCCCAACATGTAAAATATGAGTCTTGTCCTGAGTTTGAAATAGCTCACGTATATGGTTGGGAGACATCTTAGAAGCTTCAGAAAACTGCCCCCCCCCACCCCCCACCGCTCCAAGAAACAAGCTGTTCAAATGAAGACAAGTTAACCCAGTTCAATAAAAGACAGGAAATACAAGACACTAACAGGGAACATGGGACCAGGAAATCTTTCACAGTGAAAGAAAGGTAAGAAAGGAACGTGAGTCCTAGAAGACAAAAACAGCAACTGACAAAGCAGGGAACTGCACAGATTTAAGGACCCTTGTGCCAACCATTATTGAGTAAATACATTTCTATCAAATGCTTAAAGATGTTCATTTCACCAAGGAGGTAAAAGCCTATAGGGTATGCTACTAAAATTGAGGTACCATTTCTCTGCCATCATTTAAAATGTCATTTTAATGTGCTATAATTCGCACTTATAATTATTAGGAAATTTGCAACACGTCACCAGATTGATGTCTTTTTTTCTCAAATTAACAATTTAGGTTAATTTAGAAATTAAATTTGTGGTCGATGAATGCTCTTTTGCTTATAATAAGTTTTTCCTGCTCTCCCAAACCAAGGGTAAAGTAAAGCATATATCAAAGAATCTAGAGCAGAGTTACAATAACCAACCCAATAAAATATCTCATAACACATGAAGGTGTCATAAACCCCTAAAAAGAATCAGTGAATGAATCAATTGCATGTGGTAATCATGAGACCAAAAATGCTACACTGTGCCAGGGTATCAGCTGTTTTTCTCTCTTTTAGCCATCCTAGCCTCGCAAGTTCCTGATAATGATTTTGTTTTGTACTAACTAATATTTTCAATCTCTTTAGTATGTTTTCTAGCCACAAGAAAAATATTACTAGATGTAATATTAAGAAAGCTAAATGTGAAAAATAACAGAAATTCTATCACTATCCAGAATTGATTTATAACAAGCTGGCAACCATGTATGGAACAGAGGGCACTTACTAATTCCTTCATCCCATCCTCAGAGGCACCCACTGTATACACTGTATACAAGAGGCAGGATCCAGGAGCTGCTGAAGCAAATTCCTGACCCAGACACCATGCAGACATCCAGCATAATAGATTTCACTGCTGCCCCAAGTTTTCCTTTGGGAAAAGCAGCAAAACAAAGCCAAAAACAAACAAAACAAAAGCAAAAACAAAAACAAACACAAGACAACAACCATGTGAAAGCTAACCACAGAGAAATTTTTGACAAGTTGGGAGTGAGCAGAAAACTTTCTAAGGAAAAGAGGAAAGAATTTTTTTTTTTTAAAAAAAGGTGTTTTCAGGCTACGAAGGGAAGAATCAATGAAATAAAAGAGCAAAAGGGAGGGAGGGAAGTGTGTGCAGGAAAGGAGGTATGGTGAGCTCTGTAGCCGTTAACAAATAGGGATTTGACATTTACCAGTCATGCAAATTGTTTTTTGAGAAATGACAAGGAAGTGCACTGTTAATACTGGAAAGCATTGATTTATCCTGTTAAATTTGAAGAGTAAATGGTTTTCTCTTCATTAATAGTCTTACCTGCTTTTTACCAACTCATGTCATATGGAAATAGTAAAGATTGAACTTCGTCAGTCCAAATGCTTACATTTGTTCAGAGAACAAATTCATGGTGGCTGAACTGTCCTCGAAAACCCAACCACTCATGATAATTTTTAAGGCCTTCCTGAACCACGGGTAAAATAAAGCATAAATCAAAGGGTTCATGGCTGAATTGTAATAAGCACACCAACAGCAAATCTCATAGATGTAGGCAGGGGTTATGAAGCCCATATAAGCATCAATTAATGAGTCAATACTGTACGGTAACCATGAAATCATAAATGCTACCACAGTGATACCCAGGGTTTTTGCTGCTTTTCGCTCTCTCTTGGCCACTCTGGATTTGTAACTAGCTGATGACAATTCTATTTTGCCCCCAGTATCTTCAATCTTTTTAGCCTGTTGTCTAGCCACAAGAAAAATATTGCTATAGAGAATTATCATAACGAAGGTAGGTATAAAGAAGGATAGAAAATCTATCAACACCCAGTTTTGATTTACAACGGTTTGACAACCTCCTACGCAGTTGACGGCACGAGATAATTCCTCCAGCCCATCATCATAGGCACCTGTGTAGAACACGGCACCACTGTATACAAGGGGCAGGATCCAGGAGATGCCGATGCATGTCCCCGACACGGACACCGTGAACTTGGTAGGATAGACCAGAGGCTCAGTAACAGCAATGTACCTGTCGATGGAGATGAAGCACAGGTGGAAGAGGGAAGAGTAACAAAATGCCACATCACAGCACGTGTGGAAGGTACAGAAACTCGGCCCAAAGTACCAGCAGCCCTCCACAGACCTGACCATGCTGAAGGGCATGACGGTCACCCCCACCAGAAAGTCAGCACAGGCCAGAGAGGCGATGAGAAAATTGGTTGGCGAGTGCAGCTGCTTGAAATGCAGGATTGAAATCACCACCAGGAGGTTTCCAAAAACGGCCAGCACAGCCCCCAAGCTGAACAGTGTGTAGAGAATGAGCCGGGGTCCGGGCGAGTAGGGGGCTTTCACGCAGGATCCGGTCACGTTCTGGTAGCAGAGCTGCTCGGATGCAGAGGGGGACGAGTTGGTGCTCATGGTGCATGTGGAGATGTAAATACGCCAGGTTGTCTAAAGAAATTATCAGATACTATTACTAATGTTTTTCCTCTTTCCACTTATTATAAATCTTAAATGCTTTCTATATGACAAACTAAAATTGAACAAAATGATATTGTAGGGGCACCTGGGTGACTCAGTCGGTTGAGCGTCCACCTCTTGATTTTGTCCAGTCGTTGTCTGGCATTTCCTAAGTTTGAGCCCTGCGTCCCCTACTTGGGGTTCTCTCTCGGTCCCCCTCTCTCTGCTACTTCCCCACTCAGGTTTGCTCATGCTCTTTGTCTCAAAATAAATAGACATTTAAAAATTATATTGTATAAGGTTAGTGGTGTTAATTTCAACTAAATAATGCCTGGTTTCTTTAACTTGATAAAATTCCCTTTTATTCATAAAAAATATGGTTTTCTTTTTACCTCTAGTGTTCTTCTTTGCAACAGCTGCTGATATGGGATGTAACTGTGGAGTTGAAGGATCACCTCCTCTTTATCTCTGTGTTGTCTGACCTGTGTTACTAAGACATGCAGTCCTTCCACATAAATAGACGCTATCAATGGGGAAATCCCTGCATGGAATCCCTATAGTATAAGGTGTGAACTTGGAAGATTATTTTCAACAGTGATGATTAGGAAAGGTATTCTATAAAACAACTCTTAACATTAAATTAGCTTAGCCACCACGCTTCTTGGGTCAAAGATTTCTTTTTTCTTAGACTTGAATCTTTCCCCTATTGTCAGTCCTGATGAGGTACGTCTTTGGATTTTTGTACAGAGACACAATATGGTGTAAATAGTGAGAGTTAATACTTGGCTTTTTCTCTTTTGGCAGGAGCCATTCTTGTATCTGCACTGGCTACCAAGAAACAAAAAAGGTAACATACATTAAGGACGGCTTGAGATTGGTGAAATACATCACACACAAGCATTAAAGAACAGCATGGTATTTAGACACACCAGCACTTCTGAGGTACTATGACTATCAGTGCTGGTAGAAAGGAGATCGGTTCTCTGCTCAGACATTGTCACTGGAAGCATATCTGTGATGTCTCTGTCCACATGATAAATGGGCAGTGAGCCCTCTGACTACACACATTTGTGGTTCTAACTGATAGAACTTCGGTTCCGATGCTGAATGAATTCAAATAAGGAATAATGACCAGAAAGTTGGAAAATGGGAACACAATTCCTTGGTAATTTCCTAGCCCTGCAATGTTGAACTCCACAGAGCACTACTCAGACTTCTCGAAGAAAGGTTCAAGACTCTTGCCGCTGCAGCGCTGTGACCTACACATGTGTGAACTTGCTTTTCAAATTATAAAGTGCCACAGGTATTATTATTAATCCATCTGTCCATCTGCTTCCTAATCTAGAAAATTAGATTCTTTCTAATATTATTTCTAATATTTCCTGAGAATCTGGTTTTGTGAAATAATAATAATTGTTTCCATAGGCAAAGGTCTAGGCCAGGCTTTCTCAATTTCAGCACTGTTGACATTTGAGATCAGATAACTCTGATGTAAGGATCTGTCCTGTACATTGAACAGGATTTAGCAGCGTCCCTGCTACTAGATGCTGGTAGATTTCAGTAAAATTTCCCCAAGAGCGTAAATCAAAAATGTCTTCAGACATTGACAAGTGTCCTCTGGAAGATAAATGTCTCAATGACCTGCCTATTGAGAAACATTATTCTAGGCAAAAAATAATGATACATGATGCACACATTTAGGACAGAGAAATAACTTTATATCTCCCTTCATATTCTGAGATATATTCATTCATTCATTAATCAATTCAATATATATTTGCTGAGTGCCAGGAGTTGGGTGAAAAGCAATGAACAAAGGAATGAACAAAAAATCTGGGTACACATGATCCCTGTCTCATGAAGTTTGCAATCTTGAGCCGGAAACAAACCTTAAGCAAGTAAACAAATAAATGGATATATGAATACAAATTGTGAAAAGTAGTAAAAAGGAAAAAGACAGTAGCTCATGATACAGGAAGCACTTAGGCAGGTGTGGATAAAGAGGTCTCTTCAAACAGGGTAAGGCAAACAAGCTACTTCAATATTTACAGAATTTTAATATAATATATATGGGGGAAAAGGAAATGAGAACAGAGTAGAACAATAGCTGGGGGTTTCTGATGTTTTCTAGCAGAGGGTAGCTTAATAAGAAAGGAATATTATGTCCAAAAAAGAAAAAGGCAGAGGGATGAGAGAGAGACAGAGGCAGAGAGACAGGGATGAAAGTCTTGCTGTGGTCTGGAAGCAGGAATGAGGGGAAGACCTGATGCTTCTTCCAGGAAGAAACTGGACAGAAGCCCAGATCTCCGTACCTTAGTTTATAAAACAAAGAGCTAGACATCTTCCAGTTTTCTACCGGGTCTAATTTCTAATTATTCCCTCTTAGCTAATTCTTAGGATATTCAGTTAGGATTTATATTCTTCCCCTTTTCACCAGTCCCCCACAACTTTCAGGGTCCAATTTAGGACAGGTTTAGAAAATGCTACCACAATCAACAGGATCAAAACAAATTCAGAGTGTTACATTTTTTGAGCCAAGGCATAACAGAGGAAGATCTTAAAGTAGGTGCCCAGCCCCACCCCTTCAGCTCCCTTGAATGGACCCAACAATTTCTAAAATATAATCGAGAGACCAGAGAGAGGGGGAAATAGCTCGTATGGTAAAATACTATTTCCAGAATGAAGAAGGTTGGATGAGTGAAAACCTGTAGATTAAAATGTTACACCAGAGCAAATCAATTACTCCTTCCGATGTCCCCATCTCCCCAAAGAACTTTGCACTTTTCTTTATGATGCTCATACTGCCCTTGGTAGAAGGAAAGTCCCATGTTCCAAATGGCTCCTAATGACCTGAATACAGAGGTGGGGCCACAGTCTTCTCTGTAAGGAAGAATAGTTGGTGTTTGCTGCACTTACTCTCTGTCTGCCTGGCTATGAATAAGATTCTGCTGTTGAACAAATATGCTACCTTGGCCTTCTACTCACTTCTTTAAGCCTCAGGCTCCTCACTTAGGAAATAGAAGTAATAATATTTGCCCTCTTACAGGGTTGTTGAGAAGACTGAGAGTGCAGGTAAGGGATCCCATGCACCCAGTGAGAGGGTTCCGTGACATGGATAAATCATTATTAGGTTGAAATTGGCTTTATTGTTATATCTTTCCAGTTCCAGAGCCCACGTGTTGCACACCAGACAGAAGCACTTAATAAATGTTCACTGATGCAAAGGCCAATAGCAAAGGCAGCACACAACCAGAATAAGTTCACAGAAGAGAACAATGAGGGAAATAGCTGGTGTCTTTATAATTAAAGTTTTTAGAAACTTACAAAAATAGAACAATATGTTGATCTAGGAAAGGAAGTGGTAAAATTAGATGATTTGTCTAATTTTGAAAGGCACTAAAAAAAAGACAAGTGTAAATGTATTAAACTAGATGTTGAAAGTGTTTATTTGAATCCAGAAGCTTTATGATATTCTCCAGATTTCTAGAACATTTTGGTTTCAGCTTCCTTGTTCTTAAAATGAGGCAGCAGGATGATTCTCTAGCTTGCAGAACAGGATGAGAAAAAGTTACTCTACTGAAACCACTAGAATCAAAAGAAATTGATGATATTCAGTGTTGGAACTGAAGAATTGTGGGTAAAATGATACTAAACATTCTACGGTGCCTTTAATCATCTGTAAAATCCAATAAAGATAAGAGTTTCTTACAAACACAGTATAGTCATAAATAATACACTATTTCAGGAAATTTTGCCACTTCATAGCATTTGTATAATAATAGAAATGATGTGCTGGTAGATAATGTTGATTTACATTATTCTAGAAATTAGAGAAAAATAGCAAGTATTATTTTTATGTATTCATTCCTACCCCAAAGATATGATGCCCCGGTTTTGAAATCTTGGTGTCTGATTGCCCCAAAACTAAAGCTAGAACAGAATCAAGTAGTTTAATTGCATTGTGCATGAGATGTAGAGCACTTTCCAGTCTTACTACCAAGAATGTCTTCATCTCCGAAATAACTATTCCATCCACTGTTAATTGCATAGCTAATCAGTTTCCCTTTGCTACCAAAACCAAATCTATGGGTCATAATGAAATACACTTACTAGGTTCTGTCTTATTATCATGTTATGCCCTTCATTTCAGTTTTATTTGACACATTTTTTGGATTAAATTTTATTTTATTTCATTTTACTTTATTTTATTCGATTTTATTCCAATATAGTTGACATATGGTGTTATATTAGTTTCATGTGTACAATATAGTGATTGAACAATTCCATACATCATGGAGGAACTCATCACAAGGGTACTCTTTAATCCCCATCACCTATTTCACCCTTCATCCCTCACCCATCTCCCTTCGGTTATTTATAGAGAACATCAGTTTGTTCTCTACAATTAAGAGTCTATTTCACGACTTTCTTTCTCTCCTTTTTTTTCTTTGCTAATTTTTTTTTTTTTGTGCTTTAAATTTCACAGATGAGTGAAATCATATGGTATTTGTCTTTCTCTGATTGGCTTATTTTGCTTAATATTACACTCTCTAGTTCTATCCATGGTGTTGCAAATGGCAAGATTTCTATCTTATTATAGCTGAGTGATATTACATTGTATTTGCATGTGGTGTGTGCGTGTATACCATATCTGCTTTACTCATTCATTTGTTGATGGACACTTGGGCTGCTTCCATAATTTGGCTACTGTAAATAATGTTGCAATAAACATAGGGGTGCATGTATCCCTGTTAATTAGTGTTTTTGTATTTTGGGGGTAAGTACCCAGAAGTGCGATTACTGGATTGTAGGGTTGTTCTGTTCTTAACTTTTTGAGGAAACTCCATACCGTGTTCTGCAGTGGCTGCACCAGTTTGCATTTCCACCAACAGCGCAAGTTCCTTTATGTGCACATCCTTGCTAACACTTGTTGTTTCTTGTATTTTTTTATTTTAGTC